ACATGTTTTGTTTTATTTTTTTCCCTCAGGATTCTGAGAAATGTAATATCGTCCAACTAAGTTGGCCGTCCTTGTTTCTATAATCGGAGACTTGTTTTCTTATGCCGGAGTTTTCCTTTGTAGTTGGTTACGTGTTTGAATTTTAACCCCCAGGGTTATACTGAATAACCACTTGAAATCAGTCTGGTTTTACATCACGATCTTAATCATGACCTTAACTAGTTAGTGCAGGAAGTTTGCTCGTGCTGTTCAAAAAGGTCTGAGAAAACCTGTCGGCACCAAAAGGAAGACTCAGCTGCAAAACCTACGAGTCCGCTGGTAGAAGTCTGAAGTAGAAGTAGAATAAATTTTCTTGTCATTCCTTCCTAGTATTTATCTGCCGACATAACAAGTGATCAGACAGAATGACTTCGCTTTAAGGGACGGGTTGAAACAAAACACCATTGGATCAGTTTGGATAGGTCAACCGGTACATGAAATTATAAACGTTGCACGACATTGATTAGAAACCGAAACATTCCGAGATATTTTAGACAAGACAACCTAAACTGTAACTGATATTGGTTTTCTGGTATAATTACCCGCCACTTGGAGTGTTGGAAAAATACCCCTAAAACCCCCTAAATAATCAAAGGCAGACGAAGTTGCACTAAGCGAAAATAATGTTTTTGGCCACGGAATGAACAACTTCACGTCATATAGAAACAAAAAAACAATTTACTTTAACTAGTCAACGGTGAAGTGACGTAGTTTTAAACTAAAATGACAGACAATAACAAAAGTTACACAATATGTGATATAAGGAAATAACAAACAACACGACGGAAAGAGGACTCTTAAACACTAACGTTGTTAAGGCCGCACAAGAGACCAATATCAATACTGCAAAATACAAAGGCCAAAAATGGAAAAAGACAAGCGAAAATTACGTTAAGTTATCGAACAGCTGCACTTTGCGCGATAGGAGAGAAGAAAGGCATATTGCTGATATATATATCGAACAATTATGTGAGGTAGCAATAGGTCGGCAATGAAAATGACGAAAAGAAAAAGGTGCTAATGAAACAACAAATATAAACGTTGGCTGGTTACCGGGTGAAAAGACTTAAATAATAAACTCTGAACACGTGAAAAATCCAACACGAATAAATGTTGCACTTGGAACTTACAGCAGATATCACCTTTAAAAATATTTAAAATTTAACAAAAAAATTTAGAAAAAGACAGGGATAATCGTGCTTCTCTATAAAATGAGGTATATTACAAATCAGAAATAAGGTATTTTGGGATCTTTGTTACTGCTGACAGTCATGGCACAAGTATGGTTGTTACGTAATATGCTTGATAGATGTACGCTTTTGGATATGAGCCAGTTTGTTTTTCACAATGGCACATTATCATTTGCGTAATGTTTGCTTGAGGTAAGATGATATTGTCGTCGATATAACCAGGGATTAGTCAGGGCTAGTATCAAAAACAGTTTTATTTTCGAACTTCTGGCAGAAGGGCAGAGTTTCTTGTTGTTCCTTTAGTATGCTCCTCTGGTAATAACCGGTAAGCAAACAGAATGTTTTATTTAGTATTTTAGAATTCGCGCCGACAATTGTTTAGGTTCCAATATCTTCCATATAACTTAGGCTAAGTATTTGTTTTCTTTTCAGTCTGACTTGGACTCACTCAGACACCATGATACTCACTTCGCACTTGTTCAAAGCGTTGATAGTTTGTGTTCCGTTCGTTCTTGTTATTTGCGAAGCAAGGAATATCTCTGAATCAGGTGAGTGTGAACCTATTTCAAAACATTTTCACTCGCAATGCCACGTTCTGAAAATCTTTCCTTGCCGAAATTTTTAACTTTAAGTTAATTAATTTTGGCACGTATGGCGCAGCAACAAGAACGCTCCGCTCACCTAGATCGACTCCCACAATGTGAGTTGGATTTGCTTTTATTTTTCGTCGTTCGCTTTCACGAGGGTTTTTACCCCCTCGACAATAATATATCTCCCAATTGTCAATTCGATCGAGAGAAAGTAGACGAAGAATCACCTGAGGGATTTGCTTTTCTTCGTAGTTAATCCAAATTAGTTTTAATTCTTACGCCTGAGGAGGAGGGTAGTTCTAATTTTATGAAAAGTGTAGAGATATGGGCAGCACCAAAATGTGTTTTACGGCCCTGAATAAGTGGGGCGTTAGAGAAACACTTAATCTGACTTGTGTGGCCAATTATGACACTGAATACACTTTATCTGATTCGTGTAGCCAATCACAACACAGGATATATATATACTTCATCTAACTCGTGAAGCCAATCAGAACACAGGATATGCTTTATCCAACACGTGTGGCTAATCGTTTTATTTTCGTTTTCGTGGCGGGGAGAAAATTATGGAAAGTTGCTATTTATGGGCATTTCTTTTACAACAGCTCCTGACATTTGCCCCCCCGGATGGATGCGTTGGAATAACGCGTGTTACTACTTTGCAAATGATTCCGTCTCAAGCCGGGTCGCATGGCAAGACGCTCGACAGGCATGTCAGAGAATCCGTGGAGGAGACCTTGCCAGTATTCACAGTGCTGCGGAGAACGACTTTATAACACGCCATGTCTCAGGGTAAGAGCGGTCCAACTCCCTTGCTGAATTCTCACCAAATATGAAGAAGTCGAAAAACTTAATTTTTGGAAGGGGGTGGGTAAATGTGTCCTTGCAAGGGAGTGTACCGCTGGATATTGCGTAAAAGACTGTTGCAGCATTTTAGCAATCACTGGGAAAAGGCTAGTTTCACTGTGTGCAACGCTTACTGCTTAAACCAGAAAACGTTGCGAGACACATTAATCTTATACTTGTGCGAAAGAATGGGCCTAAGAAGAAAACAAACATGCGCACAAATGTTTATTGTTGTCAGATGGTTTTTTTGTGTTCAATTGACTATTAAGTGAGTTTTATTCCATTTTTACTTAAAAAATATTGTTGATCTCATTTCGTTAAAATCTATATTAATTAATCGTAAACCTATCTCCCAACTCAACCAACATTTGAGTTTGTTTTGAAAATCGTGCATGGAGAAAAGTCAAGCGCTGTCGCATTGAATGATTCCGAAAATATGATTTGTTGGTTATGACCTGACTCAGTTCGTGCGTTCCATCGTACAACTCTCAGTGCAAGCGCAATTATTCAGCTGTATTTTATCATTAATAAAATAATAGTCTTTATGATTATTTGTTAATTATTCTTATCATCAATTTTATTATGTAGTATTTGTTGGATTGGACTTAATGACCTCAGAGCAGAAGGCAATTTCCAATGGTCGGATGGATCATCATTTGTTTACAAAAACTATAGCAACAACGAACCAAATGATATCCATGGCCAAGAAGACTGTATAGAAATAAATTTGTGGTCAAATGGTTGGAATGACTTAAATTGCGGTAGGACGCTGTGTTACGTCTGCAAGCAGACCAAGAGTAAGTTACCCACAGTATGCCAGCTGATATGTAAAACTTATCACATTTTAGGCTGATACATTATTTTGTTTTTCACTCTCCGTAGTCACTGTAATGAGAAGTCAATTGTTCGTGTCAAATTTCTATTCCAAGCATGTACGAACCTCACCGCAAGCCCTTATTTAAAACTTAACCCTTTACACCCTAACATCAGTATGCATATTCTCCATACTGTTCTCTACAAATTTCCTAAGGTGCTGATAGGGAGAATTTATTTAAAATCAAGAGCCTCTTAGTTGGTGATCATTTCCTTTATTCCCTTCCCGTGACTATGATATTTGTTTCAGGGGTGATATTCTAAGGAGAAATTAGCTGCTAGTCAATGTTAGGGTTAAAAGGATTTAAGTGCTATTGAGAACAATTTTAGCTTTGACGTTTGATTTCATAAACGAATATTCAAGGCAACGTCACTGATCACAAGATAATCTGTTTTATAACTAGGCTTCCTAATATCTTAAACTTGGGTTGATTATGCTGGGTCTGCAGTGTATTTTGGGAAAACAATTTCGTGAGCTTGTATTACTCGCAAGCATATACTATCCTTTCACGAAGTTAATTGGTTCGGAAAAATTAAGAAACATATTTCTAATATTGCTTTTTTGCAATAAAATTTGGCAATAAAATTTGGCAATAAAAATTTGGCAATAAAATTTGGCAATAAAATTGCGTGACGAGACCAAATGATGGTTGCGAAAGAGACTCTGCTTACAGCCGTTCCTCTTACAGAAAGGGAACCACAGTTACTCGCCTCAAAAATATAATTTCACGTAATTTTACTGCGAAAAGCAGACTGAAACTGTCGTACCTCCAATATAACCTAACCAAAGACACATTGCGAACTTGTATAAGGGAAAATACACTAAGCAAGAGAAAATGATCATATTTCAAAGAGGGATCCTTGATTGGTTGTTACCTATCTGGACTTTGCCCTCTGTGTGTGAGATACGTGATAAAATACAGGTTGTTTACTGGAATTAACACGCGATTGAGTGAATTCCAGAGTAGCTAAAGCGAATTTCATTCGCAGAAAGAGTCAAAACGCGGGAGAATGCGTGGAAAATTCACTATCTGTAGCATAAAGTTTCATGTAAATTTTTCCCAGTGGTGTCGGATAATGCGGTTAGAATACGTGATAAAATGCAGGTTGTCTACAAGGAAATGGCATGTGATATGGCGAGGTCTAATGTGACAAAATGAAATTTGATTGGTAGAATACATTTCAAGCAAGTGAACAATTGCCTCATGTTCATGTAGTGCAATGATTGGGTATGTCGTAATTGGACTTTGGATGATGTTTTCACAGTACGTGATGGAATTTAAGTTGTTTGGCGTGTGCATTGTGAGAAAAGGAGCGGAAAAACACGTTTTATCTGAAAAAATTATACAATAAAAATAAATGCGAACCTTTCATATTCCGAAAAATCTCGACCTCACTCACTTGAAAGGCACAATCATAAAACTTTTCAAATGAGCTCAAGATTTCTGGTTAATGTCGCAGCCCCCTGATTCCATGACATCATTTACATGAAAACAATACCCAAACGCTGTGATTGGTGCATGATATGCAAACGCTGTGATATGATTGGTGCGACATACATACCCTTATGCGGCAATCTGATTGGTGCGAGATACAAACCCTAATGCGACGATCTGATTGGTGCGAGTAACATACCACTCTACACGCTAACAAAATAACTCAAAAAGAAGGCAAGAAACAATACAAGAATATGAAAAGAAAATGGGTGATTTGTACACAACCTGAATAGGGGATACTTGAAATGACTGTTGGAGATATAGTCAGGCCACCTACCCAGCATTAATAGTAGTTTGAATAATATAAGATTATGCTCGAGTGATAAAAGCATTACGATTCAAACAATGGATAACCATAAAAACGACTACAAATGTATAAAAAAAATAAGGAAATGTGTGAATTAGGCTACAGATATGCAGAGTTTTTTCTCTCTCAGTGTCTGCTCTTTCGATTCCTGATGAAATTATTTGTCTAGGTTGTATTTTCAAGAAAGATCACTTAATTAATGCCATTTAGCTCACTCGCATATACTGAGGGTTTTTGTTTTCGCTTTTTTTATTTCACAGAGGCTCTTCCCATTCTTACAACTCTTCCAACTGACCGACTGCCGGGTGAGCTTTTTTTATATGTTGTCCATCTAACCCTCCCAACGATGATTTAATGGAAAGTGGAATTTAACCGTTACCGTTGAATTTTTTCTTTTGTTTGTTTGTTTGTTGGTTCGTAACTTCGTAACTTGGCGCGCAAGTTGCTAACCTCGGACCACATCTTGGTAACTTGCAATGGCAACATAATGACTTGCGACTTGCGATTGCAACCTAAACTTGCATGGCATCACTTGGTGGCTTACAATGATAACATAGCAACTTGCAATGGTAACTTAGTAAATTGCAAAGGTAATTTAGTAACTTGCCATGGTATTTTCGTAACTTCTCATTTGCAATAGCAATTGAGAACTCTGAAATGGGAATTTAGAAATTTGCCATCTTATTTTAATACCTTTTAATGGTATTTTAGTGACTTGTAATAGCAACTTGGCAATTAGGAATTTGCCATCTTATTTTAGTAACTTGTAATGGACACTTAATAACTTGGAATGGCGATTTAGTAACTTGCAATAGCAATTTGATAACTTGCCATGGTATTTCAGTACCTTACAATAGCAACTGAGCTATTTGCGGTGGCAATTTAGTACTTTGCAAAGGCAATTTAAGAATTTGTCTTTGTATTGTATCTTGTAATGGCTATTTAGTAAATTGCATTAGCAATTTAGTAACTTGTCATAGTATTTTAGCAATTTACATTAGCAACTAAGCAATTTGCAGTGGCAATATATTACTTTGCTGAGGCAGTTTAATAATTTGCCTTTGTATTCTTGTACCTTGTAATTTATAATGGCTATTTAGTAAATTGCATATATCAGCAATTTAGTAACTTGCCATAGTATTTTAGCAACTTACAGGGAATATAGTACGTTGTAATGGCAATTTAAACATTTGTCTTCTTATTTCAGTAACTTCCAATAGAAACTTAATAACTTCTAATGGCAGTCTAATATCTTGACGTGGTATTCCTATAACTTGCAGGTGCAGCTCAGTAACTTGCGAAGACCCTTGATTAAGCAATTTGCTCTGGCGACTTTTTGACTTGCAATGGCAATTTTGTTACATCCAGTGGCAATTCACTAACTTGTCAAAGCAAACGATTGCAAATCAATCACGTCATGCGGGGCGTGGCGGAATTTTTAGTTTATCGCCACACTTGCGTTTAAGATGCTCGTAAGTAAGTCAGATGACCAGACAATTTAGTTCCTTGACGGGGTGCGCAACCGCTTGTCAAAAAGGACAAGGACTCTGCGAACGACATTGGCAACCTTCAGGACAATTTGTAGGAACTACTTATCTTTAAACCTCATCTTCTAACATTAAGTTGGTTTTTTTCTTTTTCAGTATGGCTGTTTTGGTTGAGTCGTAACCTATACTCAGCCACACATTAATGGCGCGTTATGAAACGCAACACAGTAATTTTGCAGTTTCTTTTAAAAATGCTTTTCAGCCCGCGAATGTCGCAAACGGGTCATTGTTGGAGATTTCTTAAACATTTCCATCCATGGTAAAGCAATTGCGCATGGTCATTGCATTTTCTGAGATATCCGTGGCGACAACTGAAAATGGAGATAAAAAGGAACAAATTTTGATGAAAAGTAAATAATGTGGATTCATGCATATTCCATTGAAATGTTGATATACGGCTAAAAAGTTGCGTTATACAAAAAAATGTAAAATAGCAAGAAAAAAGATTTGTTGGCTATAATCACAGGAAATCCTTTGTCAAATGAGAAGGTTAAGACTTTGCCAGAGAATCTCCTAAGAATAATTTTCGAGGATCAAACAAGCTGAGCATAACAATAACAGCAAGAATTCATCCTTTCCTGGTAGAAGCCATCACAAAATTTATACAAATTTACAATTTATAGGCAGTCATCGATTCCATTGGTGCTTGTGACATTAAAAGGTTTGTATGCACAATTGTCTTTTTTTCCTGAAATAAAGCTGTCGCGATGTTTTAGAACGGTGTTTCTGTTATGCAACGTGATTCCATACCAAAACTGCCGTTTGCGTTAGGTGCAAGTGGGCTGGGACAGATTTTGTATTCAGAATGGCCAAGGATTTGTGAGAAACAAGTGTTTTTACACGAGGAAATAGAAAGACTGAAGTATAATTTTAAGAGAAATCCCAGAGAAAGAAGGTTTATTTCGAGATGTCAGGGTTCCAGCTTAGAGAAAGACAACAATCCAGAGCCTTGATTTCACTCATAAATCATACATACACAACCCTTGCTTAAGTGGCCTTCTCCCGGGAGGCTAAGATTCAATCATATTTAATTTTTGACTTAGAAAACATATTTCGTGTGGCTCTGATTATAGCATCCATATGCGTCCATTCCAAGGTAAAATACCACATTTTTGTCATTCGCCAGACAATAACGTAGACAAGATTTTTCTCCGCTTATATGTAGATTGGATGGACTTTGTCATTGTTGTCTGGTGATGGAGAATTTCATTAACACCCCCATTACTCTTGGGTTAATTATTTCCATACCCCCACCCTCACTGCACCTTGCCTAACTCGTGAACTTAGTCATATTCATCAGGTACATTATCTGAGAAGTTGTGCAATTTTTCACCGTGAACCCGTGATATTTGTGTTCTATTCCCAGGTCCTCAATCCTCCGCGTTGGGAAATTGAAGAGGAGAATTAGATAATAAGGTAATTAAATATGGAGAAGGAAAGGGTTGAATGGTGCATGGTCTGTCACAGTGACATCTCTTTACGAATTCTAACTTTAGTGAGATATGATTAGTTTCGTTACTCATTCTTGGTTAGCTTACGCAATCGATCTGCCATTTTTCCCAAAAGATTGCGG